TAATGAAAGAAGTTGTTGAGTGAATATTTCATCATTATTCTATGATTGAATTAAATATGTTATAATTTTTAAAATATTTTGATAATAAACAGATTGAATATGTCCAGGAAAAAGAGTAACTTTTGTATTAAGCATTGATTCAAGAGTTTTTTGTGGTTCTTTTAAATGATTAACCCTTTGCGGGCCAAATTTTGTATAGCCGATTTCTGTCGATGTTTAGGGTGCAGTTAGGTAGACCTTGATCCAGATTGTCATGCGCGAGGATCAGATCATCAATATTGGGATACTTCACGTTTAACATGCTCACTTATAGCGACTAACATGAGTATAGTTTATACAGAAGGTTGAGTAAGGGTGGGTGTGGGTGTGGTGCGTAACGTGTGGATGTTGATGAAGAGCAAACCAACTGACTTCCACACTCACACCCACTCCCCACACCCACACCTTTTTTCCTTATTTATTGTACAGTTGGACAAGAAAATATATGACGTCATTTTCTTTGTTATATAACTTTAACTCGAATAGCCAGAAATTAACCCTATCTATGCAGTATTATCATTCTTTCTACCAGAATCATTTTTTCCTAATTTATTATAGTTCTTTGACCAAAACCAAATAGGTGGGACATATATGTCCCACTGGCCTCCAAATGGTTAAATAAGAACTCTTTGAATTAAAAATTTCTTTCTTTTTTTTTGTTTTGTTATTTACGAACAAAATTCACCATAAATCCATGTAGCAGCATATAAAACTTCAGCGACAGTTGTAGAATTTGAACCATGAATAAAAACATGAGCATTTACAAGATGAGCTGCCTGACAAAAAAAATAAAATATTTTTCTTGATTTTATTTAAAAAAAAATTTCTACCATTTGGTTACCAGCAAATGAACGAATAGATTCAACACAAACAGCAACATCAAGCATTTGTAAAGATATGAGATTACCATGTTTTGTTCCTTCAAGACGAGTTAATTCAACTAATATACTAAAATACCTATTTGAATAAATAAATTTTTATTAATAAAAATTTAAAAGAAATATATGCCAAACCATTCAAAATTAGTTCTATGTTGATAATCATTTTGACTACATATTTCAATCATTTTTGACAGTAATTCATCTCGATAATGTGATCCTTCAGATTTATCCATATGAACCATTAATTTATGTACGATATCCATTAGAGTTTTTCTTGTTATCTGAAGCAAAAAAAATCTTCATTGATTTTCAACTAATAATTCATTTGTTGTTACCATTCCAGGAAGAAGATCAAGTGCACGTAAACGAATTGATTCATCTTTATCATCAAGATAAAGCATTATTAAATCACTATGTGCTTGGACACTTTTTGGATGTTTGTAAGATTTTCGACATTGCAAGTAAACCAAGATATTTTACTTAAAAAAATTAAAAAATTTTCTTTTTGTATAATTAATTTTATTTATTTCATACAATTTTGATCTGAATCTTCAATAAGTAATCCAAGTTTTTGTACACATAATTGAATTGAAACATTATGATTCTGTAAACCTGATGAAATTGAAACAAGAACTTAAACAAATAGAAAATACAATACATGCATAAATTTATCTATCTATTTAATCTACCAGCAGTCACAGTATTAATACATTCATATAAAAGAGACATGGCTGAAGTACTATGAATTAAATTTGTCAATGGTTATATTAGTTTTTTGCCTAAACGAGGTTCTAATGGTGTTAATGCCCCAAACTAAATAAAAACCATTCGAAAACAAAGAAATTAAACAAAATCGATGTGAAGCTAGCACGACGGCCAATCAGGAGCGACTTTCAAATCGACCAATCAGCTTTCGAGCATAATTTACCATTCACACTCCATGAAATACCATACAAAACCACCTTAGCCAGTGTTTTTAATAGTAAGTACCCTAAGCAAAAGCAAAGTACCCGAGGTACTTACGATTTTGAAAAAGTACTTTGATTGTTGCTGGAAAAACATGGAAAAACATGGAAAAAACATAGGTAAACTATGGATTTGTACTTTGTTTTGAATTCCTATTAAAAACGCTGACCTTAGCAACCACACTATTTTTCATACAACCAAAACAAAAATAATAATATTTTCAAAACGAATCAAAACAAGTTTCTCAAACACATAAAACATCACCTATATGAGTCATCCATCCTGAACTATCGCTCAACTCACCAGAAAAAAAAAAACTTTTATCAAGAGGATCCATTACCCGAGGATGAGTTGTACATCAATCTGTAGAGAATTTAATTCTCTATCGATTGATGTACAACGCAACTTAAGAATCCATTTTGATATCGGTCATCCAGCCTCAAATCTGAGTCCAGTCAGTAGAAAAAACAAAACAAATTCCAAAAAAACGAAAAATTCTATGAAATCAATCCATTGCCCGAAGATGAGTTGTAAATCAATTTGTAGAGAATTTAATTCTCTATCGATTGATGTACAACTCATCTTAAGAATCCATTTTGATATGCGCCATCCAGTCTCAAATATAAGTCCAGTGGGTAGAAAAAACAAAAAAAATTCGAAAAAAACAAAAATTTTATGAAAGCGATCCATTGCCCGCAGATGAATTGTACATCAACTTGTAGAGAATTTAATTTTCTATTGATTGATGCACAACTCA